CTCCTTAGTTCAGTAACTGCTCTTCACCGAGCCCAGCTGTGCAGCGGGGCCACCATGTGTTGTACCTCGTTCCTTTCCTTCAGGGAACAGTAGTTATATGCATAAGGCTTGAACTACTTCAGTTGGTGTGCAATGAATCTAAAATATTTGAAAGTTTAATGTTTATCAGTACATTACAGAAAATAACGAACTTTATCACAATATGCTAATTTTTTGAGAAGGACCTGTATATAAGATCAGTAATCGGACAGAAAACTGCAACCAGTGCACGCCTATATTATGCTTCTTTTGCWACTTTTAATTAGCYTTTGGYTTCYTGTAKGTAAWGTTTYGCTCCTTTTGACTGATATTTCAGCTCCTACAAGTTTCAGCAGTCAGTCACTGTATTTCTAGAGAAAATGCCATGGCTCCAGTGTGAACCTCACAGGGTTGGAGGTGATGATGCTCATGGAGCCGTGCAGATCCTGCCTCTGCAGCTTTTATCAGCCTCAGCTTACACCAAACCTGCCTGGCAACAAGCCCATCGTGGTCAGAAGCGTTKTTTTTTTYTTCTTGTCACAGTCTGGTGGTGTGACCGAGTTCCCTGGAGTGGCCCTTTTCTCCAGCCCCTGAACCCCCCCACCCTCCCTCCTCCACGTCACCCCCCTGCTGTCAGGCGGTTCTGAATTATGGATGAGTCYGGATAACTTATCAAATATGAATTTATAGGCAGAACTTTGGAAAACAAACACGTTGGTTGTAAGCATGCATGTAAAAACTGTTGGGAATTGTCCTATTTGATCCAACAGGAGCGCACACTGACTTCACTTGTAGTTTCCTAAATGAAGGCTTCATGTTTTCCTCCCATTGGACCGCAGACAGAGGCTGTCAGAGCCGCAGCGTGTCTTTCTTCCTCGCAGCGCAGTAAAACATTAGAGGGAGAGGAGGGACTCAAGTGAGGAAGGCTTCAGTCCAGTTTCCACCGCGAACACCAGAACACATTTTACCGGTGAGTAGACTTTTTWATWTTTATTTATTTTGGCTTTGAAATGAGATAAGGAGGAAAACCAAAGCTCGCACCCGCTCTGCGCTCATCAAAAACTATTTTCTTGYGTCGTCTTTGGTGAAGCTCGTGAGGTTACATGTTTGAAAACAACTTTAAAGTCATGTACACTCTCGCATTTTGRCGTCAAGAAGTCCGCGTGAGCCTTTTCTTTTTTTTTACAGTAAAACACCGGTGTTCTGACGGATAAAGTGTGTCGTGTTTGTGTGGCGGAACGAGACGAGTAAAGCTCGCACAGGTGAAGAAGTGAGCTGGAGAGGAGTTGTGCCGCGCGCGTGTGCSGCGCCAGGTGCGCGAGGAACGATTGTGGCGCGCGACAGGGGAGCCYACCACCATCACCACGTCATGTATCATTTCCCGTTCAGTAAACTACACACCGCCGTTAACTGGCRGCATCAGTTACAGCCACGTGCTGCGTGACAGTGGGGTCGCGAGGTTGAGCGCACCGAAAAGGAGAAACACCAAAAAAAGACATGCAATTTCAAGCAAGGCTGAGTCCGCCAAATGTCAGCACGCATAAGGACGTCAACTTAATGTATGTAGTGGTTGCCACTCAAACTGCTAGGAAGCTGATTGGAAAAAAGCCTACATTACTGCAAAGTTARGCAAAAGATGGTCCGAGGGCCAGAAGAGGACATTGAACCACTTAAATCTGGTCCATGACATCCTAAAATTAAAAACCGTAAAGCAGTGGTTCCCAMACTTTYCAGCTTTTGACCCACACAAAACATSACYAGCAATACATGTAAAGCCAAATATTTTTGGTTGACAGTTTAAACAGGTAAATTGATGCTTTAAATCTGGCTGCTTCCTGCCTGTTCAATAGGGGTGTGAGAAAATATCGATTCACTGAAATATCGCGATATTTCA